TGAGCATCCTCTTCATGAGACTGTCCTACAACAACAGAGTGTCTTCAGTCAGAGGCTTCTTCAGATCTGCTGTAAGACGGAGCGCTACAGGAGATCCTTCCTGCCCACAACCATCAGCATCTACAACAGCTCTTTGAAGAAACCTTCATAATGAGCTACAACAACATTTAATTTCCCTTTGGGATTAATAAAGTATTTTTGAATTGAATTGAATTGAAGTTATCCTTTAGTAAATGAGGACATTCTTAATCTTTTAGAATGATAGCATCAAAATCTTACCAGTATCTCGACTTTGAAAGGATTGTGCAAACGACTGCGTCTGTTTTTAAAAAAGGAACACACGTACTTGAAAGAAATTGCTTGTTTTGTGGAAGAGGAGCTGTCATTACTTTTTTCTCAAAATGTTACGGCTTTAATCACATAATATTCTGACTTTATTTTCGTAAAGTTACGATTTTATTCTAGTAATATTACGACTTTATTCTTGTAAAGTTACGACTTTGATCACATAATATTCTGACTTTATTCTCATAATATTAGCCTAAGACTTTATTCTCTCAATATCCTGACTATGTTCTCATAATTTCCCAAAATAAATCTCTTAGCCTGGCCCCAATACTCCATTGTATTTAAAGTAAGAAGGCAGATGTGATAAGTAACAAGTGGGACCATTTTTTTCTCTTTTTTGCTTGCAGTGACTCATTGGTTTGGTCTGGGCACCAAAGCCAACTGGTCCTCTCACAATATCAAAGTTTCTTTGTTTCATAACTGTTGCCATGGTGATGTTTTCATTCAACAGTCACATAAGTGTATGCACTTATGTGATACACTGTGAAACCTTTCCACCTTTACTATACCACAGTCAGTCATTTTCTATACTGCTTCTTCCATAGTGGGTTGCGGGGAAGCTGGTGCCTCCAGCAGTCTATGGGTGGGAGGCGGGGTACACCCTGGACAGGTCGCCAGTCTATCACAGGGCAACACACAAACAACCATGCACACACTCATTCACACACCTAAGGGACCAATTAACCTAACAGGCATATCTTTGGACTGTGGGAGGGAGACGGAGTAGCCGGTGAGAACCCACCTTTCTGCAAGGCAACAGTGCTACCAACTGCGCCACCGTGCAGCCCTAATATACCAAATATCCTCTTGAATTAAAAAAGAAAACTGATCTAATTTTTAATAAAAACTTGTATTTTAACTTGTAGTTTATGAGCAACCCACTTCTTGACCACTTCTTGACCAATTACCTGGCTAGTTTAAGACTTCTTTTACCTGCAGCCCTCTTCACATGATCCCACAGATCGTCACGTGATCCAAAGCTGCTCTTTGTAGATTCGAATGTATGCTTGGGCTTTCTGTGATTACTGAAACATGTTGAAGACTTTGAGTCAGAATGAAATGGTATTTGGAACTGCCCATTGTGTTATTTAGTTTGATGAAAAACTTAGGTCCATCTAAAGAAAAGGAACGCCAGAGCATGACGCTGCCACCACCATGTTTCAATGTGAGTCTAGAGTTTTCAGTATTGCATGCTGTTTTTTTTATGCGAAGCTTACCTTTTGGTTTGATAAAGCCTATACTCTGGGTTCATCAGACTGTAAAACATTCACCCACAAGGTTTTTGAAGATGTTTCATGTTTTCTTTGGAACCAAAGGCTACCATTCTTCTTCAGATATGTAAAGGCTACAGGTATTTCTTTCTAATGGCAGCTTGTGGTGACTTCTACGGAAAGTGTCTTTCTGTTTGAAAGAAGTCATTCTTTTCCTGAAAATGAATGAAATGGCACTTTATTAAAGTATTAGTTTTCTGGGTGTGCAGTTATTTAGCCAGATTGTTACAGCTCTTTTATTTTCCGTTCCAGCTGGTGTTTGTTTCTCAATTTATTTGTTCAGAAACATGTCACAAATCAGGTTAAAACGGTTTTAATGATTTATAATGGTGTTATTTTTTTTACACTACCCAAAATTGGCATTTTAACAGGAGCATGTACACTTTAACATTCAATCATAATTTTTTTTCTTAACATTGTAAATATTAACTGTAAAATGTAACAGCGAGGAAAGCAAAAATGGTTTTTAAACTAAGCAATGTATTAAACTACACTATGTCCTGTTGTCCACAAACCTGTATATTTCATGCCATTTGAAGCTGCCATAGCCCAATCATGATTCTCTGGGGGAACATTATTAAAACATTATCCCATTTTAGGTTCTCTTAGAGAAAACCCCCCAGGCGCTCCTGAGTTCGCTGCGAAAGCATAACAGCCATCCACGTTCAGCTATAATGGGTGACAAACCCCTTCATAGTGTGCTGCATAAACATTTCAGTCACTGGATACAGAGTCGAAGCTCTGAAAGTGGAGAATAATTATAGCACAACACTGCTAGATGACAAATGACCCATCAATTCACAGTGACTTATTCAAACATAGAACAGGTTGGGGTTAATGTATGGTGGGCTATTTGCACATTTAAGTGCTTTACCCAATAATAAACACAGTGGCTCTGAGATTCACTGTGTTTCCCTTCTGTATTTCTGTAGTGACATTGATTCATAGCAGCCGGTCCCGCTTACATACAGTCAATTTGTTACAGCACTATCCGCAGGCTAAAGAAATATGTCCACCAACATTTGTAGAAGCATATGGATTAGTTAAGTGTGGTTGCCAGGGTTGGCTTTGGAAACCTGAAAGCCATAACTGATCACTGCACAAAGAGTTTGGGAGATTTGTTAAGGTTACAATATGTGAGAACACTGTGGGCAGCACAAGTCGCCCACAAGAGGTGAGCTTTGACAGGTGTGGGTATTGGGCGAGAGCAGTTCCAGCTAAATCTCAGGTGATGTTAACAATGGAGAGGAAAAAGAAGAAAACAGAAGCTGTGCTGCAACATGACACGTTGTCTTGCATGTGAAGATAAAGTTCCTGAGGAAAGAAAAACAAGGGAACAAAGAGACAATAAAACATTTACTTTGAGATAAGTGCTGTGGCTCTAAAAGAAAGAGATGAGCAAGAGGCAAAGAGAAAACAGTAAAGATATTAAAGCCAGACTGAAGCAGATATTACCCTCTGAGATTAATGCTCCATTTAGTCTCCAACAGATCCTCATTGTTAGACAGAGACCGCATCACATTACACGTATTGACAAGCAGTAAAGCTCCATTTTATATTATGCCTAAATGATCACAACGTATTGTCCTTTTATTAGCCTGCTTATCAGATAGGAGAGCAAGAAGGTGAGATTATGAGTGCAATCAATCAAAACACACATTCCACTTTAAATTGTGTTTGCTGTTTAGCTGTATACTTTGATGACAGGTGATGCTGCTCAAATTAAAAGTAAACTCCCAGCTGACTTCCTCCTCTGACACTAATTATACTTTAAAACTAATACAAACGATGTTGGAACCAGTGTTCTGTAATTTGTAAGAGCGTGTTTTGGTCCTTTAGAGGAAGAATATTTCATGCACTCAAGATCACAATATTATCAGGTGTGCATTGATGTGTGCAGAGATAGATGGAGGGTATGATTTAGGAAGGATTGGGAAAAGGAAGGAAAAAAGTCTGATTTTTGCTGTAATTGAGTAAATACAAGTCTCTTCTTCACAGCTGATCCTCCCAGCTTCCTCTTAAGTGTTTGCTCATTTCAGAGTCCAGTGGACACAGAGTTTGGCCCATTCTACAAAAGCAAAAAGACCTATTGCACATTTTAACAGTTAACAATAATTCTCCCTCCAAGATGTTTTTTTTCTTGGATGATGAGCGTCACTCTTCACAATTGTACTTTCTAAATTTCAGTGGTATATGTTGTGATTAGGTTATTTATTTATTTGTATTAATATGTATAGATAATAGGGAAATTCCAATCCACTCACAAGTATTATATCGGCATCCTAATCAAGGCATTTTTAAAGTTTCCTCAACTAAGCTCAACTCCTAATACCTGCCATTGTCTTAGTGTCTATAATTTAGTCAGCAGTCCCCCCAGTAAGTCATTTGTCTGTGATTTGTGGGATACATTTTTGAAATTTGTTTTTCAATTATTTTTATTTATTGTACAGATTAACAATTTTCAGTTTGATCTGCCCTGACTGGCTGCTCAGAAACTCAAAAATCCAATCATTTTCTGCTCAGTGAACACACCATATGAGGTCAAGATGATAACACCCTTCACAGTGGAAGTTGTAACTGAATGAAGAAGATATGATAGTTATTTTCACTATCAGTTAGATGTTTAAATATGAAGAGAGGATGATAGGATGAAAACAAATGGTGTGAAGAGCTAATCAAAAGAAAACGGTATTTCTAGGACATGTCGAGGTATGTATGTGGTTCATTCAGGCTATTAGAGAGTGACAGTGAGCAAGAATTAAAGCAGATAACAGGAAGGCTGAATGAAGTACATGGCATAGTTATGCTTTAGCTTTCAACCTCAGTCTGTCAAAAAGCATGCTTGATTTGGAACAGCTGGCAGCCTTTATTTATTTATTTATTTTTTAAAGATATTTTTTTCGGCACTAGAGGCCTTTATTTTTGATAGTAGGTAGACAGGAAAGAGGGGCAAAGAGAGCGGGAGACATTCGGCAAAGGTCGCCGGGTCCAGGACTCGAACCTGGGACGGCCGCTTTGAGGACTATAGCCTCTATATGTGGTCGCACGCTTAACCCCTACACCAGCGTCACGCCAGCTGGCAGCCTTTATGACATGGTGTGATGTTGCTTCTGACTTCAATATGAATAATCCATGACTGCTCAGTCTGAGAAGGCTAAAAAAAGGTATTTTCCTTATTTTTTAGTTCTTATATCTTCTCATATTGTAGTTCTTAACAAATAGTCAGATTTAGGCTAAATTTGCTTCAATAGGTCAAAGCTGCTTATATCAAAGTTACAAAAAGTGGTGCTTGTAAATTCACTGATTGCTGCATAGATTGTTATGTGCTCATCTTACAAAACTGTATCATAGGCCATCAATGCTCTTTTGTTGATCTAAAGAATCTGTGTTTTTCCTCTGTATATTGACACTGATTTTCTGTCTATCTGGGTCATGTGACATGCAATTTGCCTTGATAGCTAGTGATGCAGGGTAGAACTGCATAGAGAGTCTAACTTTTTGATCTACTTTATCTGCTTTATTCAAAACTTTGATCACAGGTGATGCTACTCAGATTAAAAGTAAATTCCCAGCTGACTTCCTCCTCTGACACCAATTATACTTAAAAACTAATACAAACAATATTGGAACCAGTGTTCTGTAATTTGTAAGAGTGTGTTCTTGGTCCTTTAGAGGAAGAATATTTCATGCACTAAAGATCATAATATTATCAGGTGTGCACTGATGTGTGCAGAGAAAGATAGAGGGTATGATTTAGGAACAGGAGGGAAAAAAGTCTGATTTTTGCTGTGATTTAAAAAATAATGCAATACAAAGCAGGAGAACAATTGGATCCAGTTAATCATAAGAGGACAGAGAAAATGTACAGAAAATTTTTTTGTTTCCCCCGGCCTTCTATTTGTTACCTCTTTCAGGGGGTCCAAGCCGTAATTCAGGTGGGGTTCAAACTCCACATTTTGTAATTTGCACTTTGGCATTATGGACTAAAACACCTGGTTAGGTCACATTTTCTGTTCACAAGCTAAAAATACTTGAGAAACATTTCTTCTCATTCTTTTCACCATTCTTGTCTTTAACAGCATCTTAAGATTCCTTGCGTTACCTGCCTAGTAAACTGATTGAGCTCTTAAACTCAGCATTTATTTAATACCATGTGTGCTTCAGTTAGGTGACATTGTGTTTTTGTAGTTTTCACAAAACCTCTGAGATGACAGCTGCATTATATTATTCCTCATAAACCTCCACCTTGAGAAACGAAACGTTCACATCCTGCAGGGCTCAGTTAAGTAAATGCTAAATTAAACCCCATTTTCTGTCTTTCAATTAAAAACTGATAAAAACAACTGGAAACAACTGTGCAAACAAAGGTTTGTTTTTCTTTCTGTTATTAAAAAGGATGGTAAATTACAAAGTTGAGAGTTATGTAGCTCACATTTAATCATAAGCATTATGCCAGATGTAATAGAGAAATTATTAAATTCTGATGCAAATGGTTCATATACAGACATTCACAAGAACACACTAAAAAGCTGCCTATGTGGTTTTACACATGCACAGTTTTTGAATTTGCATTGGAAGGGACTATTTTAGTGAACTCTTCTTTGTGATAATTCATACAAATACGGCCAATTACCGAACAGAGCCTCACTCAAAACTGCTGATGACAGCATTTACATCACATAGTCCATAAACTCACATCTTCTCTTTCATAAAGCCTTTCCTCAAGCCTCTCTCCCCATCTGAATATTCAAACACAAAAAATAAAATGACTAAAGGGCAGGCAGACAGTCTCTCTGTGATTCTTTGACTAGATGAGAGCTGTGGTTTGTGAAATATGTTTTACTTACATGCAATCTACATAATATATACAGTTTTGATTCCTTGTGTGAAACTAAAAAAAAAGACCACGGCAAAGAACCCATTGCCTCTCCCCATTAGAGGTTAAAGTTCATGCAAATGTGATGATGTAGCTGCCTCAAAACATGTTGAACTAGCATTTTAAAACCAATCTTGGTATCTACACACAGTCACATGTCAGTAAAAGCACATCCAACATGCACTGCATCACTGTGATATTAGACAGAACCAGCTTTGGTCTAGGAGAGTAGGAAAGCTCCAGAGTCTAGTTGAATCACACAAGGTAATGTATGTATGTAAATGAATTCATTTGCAATACAGCCAGCATTGAAAGGTCATGTGCTCTTTGAAATTTCCAGAAACGCCTACCATGAGTCAAATCTCCACTGCCACCACCTGCTTGGAGACCGTTTAAATCTAAGCAATAAGAGCTGTTAATATTTGGTACAGTAGCCTTTGTTTGCAATTACAGAGGTCAAACATTTCCTGTAGTTTTTCACCAGGTTTGAACAAACTGCAGCACGGAGTTTGGCCCATTCCTCCACACAGATCTTCTCCTGATCAGCCAGGTTTCTGAGCTGTCGCTGGACGTGTGCTGATTTAAGCAGGGGAACCTTCCCTGCCATGCATGACTTTAAACTATGACGTCTTAGTGTATTACCCACAGTAACCTTGGAAACAGTGGTGCCAGCTCTCTTCAGGTCATTGACCAGCTCCT